GAGCCATCCTTTTTTATGAGTATTTATTTATTAAAATAAATAGAACAAAAAATATAATGTTTAATTTTTAAGATGAAAATATATTAACTTTATACTTTCTATAAAGTTCTAGGTTGACCCTCTATCTACTATCCACTATTACGAGGTTTTTTGTGGATTCAAAACGGCTTTCCTTTTTCTTTTAGCTAATTGGGGAGGATTCGTCCTCCCTCCACCACAACTAACTATACTTTCTAAAGAATGACAAAGAACTTTCTGGATTTAAAGTAGAAAACAATACTCTAAATAAATGATTGTAGATGGAGACCTGACATCATAACTCTAATCCGTATTTGATATAAATCTCTTTAATAAAAAATAATTGCAAACTTTATCTGAAGTAAAAATTTCCAGTTTAAACTACGAAATCAAAAAAATATATTAAGTCTTATATAAAAAGTTAAGCTAATCATCATATTACTAGGTGATAAATCACCCCAGAAAAATATATATACATTATCTAATGAGATGTTGATAGTTTTAAAATAATATTAGATAGCTAATTTTAAACTCTGAATATTTAAAATGATTGCCTATTAATACGTTGAGTTTAATATAAAATAATAATATAAATAATACAAGTAATAAGTTAAGTAATTATCAATAGCTCATAGGTGATGAGCTAAAACTCTTACAGTATTGTAGTTAATCACCAATATTCTGGTGATGTTTAAATAATATTAAATGCATGATTTTAATTTCTTTTACTGATACCATATTTAAACCTTGAGTTTAATATAAGTAATACGTTTATCAATGCTACTATAGCATTATACTAATATAGTAATATTATAGTAATATATAGTATATAGTATTATCAACTCCAGAATATAACTTTTATTCGTTTGACATAATCGGATTAGTATTGTCAGATCTATACCATTTAGTGAAAAATAATGGCTTTTTACTTTTTATATTAACTAATAGTACAAGAAAAAAAATAAATATTATTAGTTTATTAATTCATTTCAGTAATTCTAATTTAAATTCTTATTTACGATTCTTAAAATACAAAATTGGAACTGAAAAGTCAATCAATTCGTTGGCATAGAATATAAATACTAGACTACATATAGTATAGTATAGTAAGAGCATAAATACTATTATACTAATATATATAGTATACTCTATTATAGTATTGAAGAGTTTAAATTCTATACTATGGTATTAACATGACCCACCTCTAATAAAAATAGATCTTTGGAACTCAACAAAAGAGACCGCGTAAACACTGCAAGGCTTGCTGCAGTTCTTACTGGTCATTGGTGTGTAGGAACTCATGCAGAGAAACTGTGCAAAATATAATACATTTTCTCTGTAAATGCCCGGCTTTGGTCAGAAGATATAGGTTCTTAGGAAGATACTTCTTTGATAGTTTTTCACACTGTTCATCGGTGAAGATGAAAGACCTATTAAATTATCTAAATTCGGCGGGATGGATTTAATCTCTACTCTTCTATGCTAGGGTTCTAGGGAATGTGGTAGCAAAACGGTGAAAAATCGCTAATTGATGTACATAGAAGTTATCTAATGGCCTGCCACTGCAAACAACCAACCATACTGTAGTATTGGTACAAATAGTCTAAATTCTTTACTATAGTATTCATACAAATACTTGAATACAATACTATAGTATCGTTATTAGTACTCTGACTACCGAAAGAAATATCTTATATCTACAAATTCGAATTCATCTCTGTGGTTGGTATATTTCGGCCATCAAACAAGTTTCTATTCTAACAACAATGGATTGTGTATTAAACGCGTTCCGAAACTATTTTCCTTAAAATTTGATTCATTATAGCTTAAAACATTATTTAAATTAAATTTAATTATCACTTGTAAATACTATTAATTGGCATTTTTATTTTTATTATATTACTTTAGAAAAGCAGTAATCAAAGAGAAATAAGTTGGCGGTACCACAAATCGTTCATCTACCAATCAAAAAACTGTAAAAGAAGATATAAAATCTGACTGGCTTGCGATATACTGACAAACTGACATAGATACAAAACTTTTTTGCGTAGGCAGTTTTTTATTTAATTTATACTTTGTTTTTAATTATACTAATTTTTGACTTTAAAACAAAATGCGGCAGTTTGCATAATTAATATGATTGCGGCAAAATGATAAAAGACAATAAATTTGGGACAAGTTCAACCCATTCAGAAATAGAAATTTCAATTTAATTCTAGCAAACAGGTAAAAAAAATGCTTGCCAAATCCTCGGTGAGATCATAGCTCCATGCTTAGTTCCATCATTAAAGATAGAAAAAAAAGAATTTGTGCCAAAGTGGAAATGAAATTGTATCTCAAGTACCAATGAAGCTTCTTAAATGTAATTTATACTTTGCTCTCGACACAAATTCACAAGTTGGACTAGGGAATGGAATATGTTGAAATATATATGCAATAAATATAGTTTATAGAAAAACTTGTAAAATAAACGATCTGAAAGATATTAGAGTCTATAAAAGGGTTTTAAGAAATCCCAGAAGACATTGTTCGGTTGCTGCAGGTCGCATCAAGTGACAAAATGTCAACGTTTCAATTGACAATTCCAACTGGCACATGTACGAAACTGTCAGAAGACTTTAAATGGCAAACAAGAATTTTTTGCATTATATTTTTCTTTATCACTTTTTTTATTATATCTTTTCGATTTTATATTTGCAGTTAACAATTGACTTGCACCGCAAACTCGTACTTATAATAGTCAACAACCAAGTAACACAATTGAAAAAGTCAAGTATGGCTTTGGACGTGTATGCAATTATGCAGATACTTTTACTGCAGTTGGCTTTTTTTTCCTTATGGTCTTATGGTCTTATGCACT